CTCTGTTGCTTAAACAGAAGTCTGAGAGTTGTGCCCATGCCCTTGCGCGTTAGGGGCGGAAGAGGACTGGAGGTTCTAAGCATAGAATTCAGGAAGCAGAACTTGGTCTTGCTCGTGCTATTGAGCGCTTATAGGGAGGTGGTGGTTCACAGGAGGTTGTTGTAGCAGAGCTTAAGTTAGAGAAGATTCTGCATGAGGAAGAAATTTACTAGAAAAAAAAATCAAGAGAGACCTGGCTCAAGGTTGGGGATCGTAATACTCGATGGTTCCATAATCAAGCCTCGTTTAGGAGGCGGAAAAATGAAATCAAGGGCCTTGAAGACTCTGCTTGTTCCTGGCACAGTTGTCCAGAGCAGACGACAGATATCATTTCGACCTATTTTTCTGATCTGTTTACTGCGTCAGTGTCGGATGTTGGGATTTGTCGGGATGTTTTGGGGGAGATTGGTGTGGAGGTTATTAATCGGCAAAATCAGCTGCTTCTAAAGTGGTTCAGTCATGAAAAGGTGGAACTGGCTTTCCGTCAGATTGGGCCCCATAAGGCTTCTGGGCCTGATGGCTTCTCCGGGGCTTTCTATAGATCTTTTTGGGATGTAGTGGGGCTGGATGTTATCCATTGCTGTTTAGAGGTTTTAAATAACATGGTGTCACCGGCTCCTCTTAACGAGACTCTGATTGCGTTGATTCCAAAAGTAGAGTGTCCTTGGAGGATCACCGAATTCAGACCTATATCGCTATGCAATGTTTGTTATAAGATTATCTTGAAGGCTATTGTGAATCGTATGAAGCGCTTACTAGGATTGATCATTTCTTGTAATCAGAGTGCATTTGTTCCAGGGAGATGTGTGGTTGATAATGCGATCATCGGGTATGAGTGTGTCCACTCCATTAGGAGTAAGACGTCAAGGAAACTCGGTTGGGCAGCCTTAAAATTGGATATGAGTAAAGCGTATGACAGAGTTGAATGGTGTTTTATTTATCAGGTGATGCGTCGTATGGGTTTTGCTGGTGCATGGGTGGAGCTGATTATGCCTTGTGTGTCATCAGTTTCCTTTTCTTTTCTCCTGAATGGTGAGCGGCGTTGTCATATTATTCCCTCGCGCGGTCTTAGGTAAGGTGATCCTCTTTCTCCCTACCTCTTTCTAATTTGTGCAGAGGGTTTGTCCTGTTTGCTGTAGAGGGCGGTTTGTCGGAAGCTTCTCTCGGGGTTCACCTTATCTCGGGGGGTCCTCATATATCCCATTTATTTTTTGCTGATGATAGTCTGTTTTTCTTTCGCGCGTCGACAGTGGAAGCAGACAGAGTAAAAGGTATTCTTGGTGCTTATGACCAAGCCTCAGGCCAAACCATTAATTTTGAAAAATCTGTCACTTCTTTTAGCCCAAATACCCCACTTTCTGTAATGATTGTTGTTGAGTCATCCATTGGTGTGAGGCGTGTGGTTTGTCACCAGAGATATTTGGGACTACCGGCCTTTATGCCCCGAAACAAGAAAGAGACTCTAAACTATATTAAAGATAGGGTCTGGTCACAATTGTAGGGTTGGAAGGGGTGCCTTTTTTTCAATTTGTGGGAAGGAAGTACTCCTTAAAGGCCATAATCCAAGCTATTCCATCTTACTCAATGAATTGCTTTAAGCTCCCTGTTGGTCTTTTGCATGATACTAGTATGGCGATGGCCCGTTTTTGGTGGGGCGAATTTAATGAGGATAATCGTATACATTGGGTCAGTTGGGAAGTTATGTGTCGGCCTAAATGTTTGGGTGGAATGGGTTTTATTGATCTTGTTTCTTTTAATAGAGCTCTTCTTGCTAAACAGGGGTGGAGAATCATGAGGGATTCATCTTCTTTACTGGCTTTAGCTCTGAAAGGTCGGTATTTTAAAAACAAAACGTTTTTGGATGCAGATGTTGGTTCCAATCCATCATATATCTGGCGGAGCTTATTACGGGGACGATCAATCCTTCAGTCTGGGCTTAGATGGCGGGTTGGAGATGGTTTGAATGTTCCCATTTATGGCTCAAACTGGATCCCGAGAGATGGTAACTTACATGTGCATTCTCCTCCTCGCCTCCCTTTGTCTAGCATAGTTTCTACTCTCATAAGTGCTTCTGGAGGTTGGAATGAGGGGATTATTCGTGGTGCTTTTGATGAAGGTGAGGCGAGTTTGATCTTGCGTATTCCGGTTGGAGTTGACACGACGAGTGATATGCGAATCTGGCATTATGATTCGAAGGGGTTGTTTACGATCAAAAGCAGATATTGGGTCGACCAATCTCGACTTCTTTGCCGGGTTTCGTCGGCATCCAGCTCAGATGTGAGAAGGTTATGGTGGACTGGATTGTGGAATATGTCCATAGTAAAATTAAAATTTTTTTGTGGAGAGCCTGTCTGGATTGGCTTCCGACTGGTTTCAATTTGGAGACTCGTGGTGTGGCTGGTGTTAACTGGTATTGCTTATGTGGTTGGTCTAGTGAGGATCTCCTTCATACGCTCTGGTTCTGTAAAGTGGTTGTTCGAGTTTGGAAGGCGTCCAGGGTCCGTTACCAATTACCGCAGGTGGTAAGGTCGACGATTATGACTTTCTTGTGGGATTGTAAGGAGGTTTTGGATTGGGATGATATGAGAGAGCTAGCTGTGATCCTTTGGGCTATTTGGAGTTTGAGGAACGATTGGGTTTTCAATAAGGTGAGCAGGCATGTTCCAGAGGATATTGGAAGCTGGGCAGCGGCTTTTATGCAAGAATTTCGTCGCGCAAACGCTCGTACTCTGGATGACATTTCTTGTCATGTTTCTGCCTCCTTCGCCTGTTTGTTGGAGACCTCCTCCGGAAGGTCGGTACAAAATTAATACCGATGCTGTTATGGATTTAAACTCGTTTTCCGCTGGTCTGGATGTGGTTGTCAGAGATTGTCGGGGTCAGGTGATGCTCTCGGCTGCGACAAGGGTGTTGGATATGGCAAATGTAGATCTAGCAGAGGCGTCGGCGGCTAAATGGGGTCTTGATCTGGCGCGGGATATGGGTCTCAATTCTAAAGATGGACTCCCTTCGGATTGTCCAATCGCTGCAGTCGGTTGAGGAGGACCTGTCGGAAATGGGGGTGTTTGTGACGAAATTGAAGGAAGCAGCTGCAGATCTCGGCCTTGCATCTATTAGTTTTGTGAAGAGAGGTGGAAACCAAGTGGCTCATTTGCTTGCGGGTTTGAGGTTGAAGAATGAGGGTGTGTCGGTTTGGTTAGAGGATGGTCCAGATATTATTTCCCATGTATTGCTCTTTGAGAGTTTTGGTGTTTCTGCTTAATTGATGGCTTTAGCCTATTTAAAAAAAAAAGTCTAAAAAATCTTTACATTTATTTTATATTATTATTACGTTATCTATATAATAAATTTTCTCTCACCAATTCAATTTAAAATTACATAACTTTTTTAAAAATATAAAATTAAATAATTAGAAACTGAAAAAACGGTTCTAATGCTGCATAAATTAGAACATAAATAATATGAATCATAAAAATATTTATTCAAACAGATCATTTTCCCACTTTTCATCACAAAAAAAAACATAAATAAGATGAGTCATAAAAATGTTATAGAATTATTTTCACCAATCAAGTTTAGTATCTCATAAAAGTTAAAAAGAATTAGTTATACAAAATATAGTTTAAACTATTACATTATCAAGTATTTGAAGGCACGATGTTATAATTATCCATACACCTCAAAGCTCTCTCTCTCTATTTTTTTTTTATATCAAAGAAACACTCACTAAAAAGAAATCGGACCATTTAGGGTTATATCAAAAGAGTGGTTACCACGCACTACAATCAAAATCAACGAAGGAAAACAACTATCCCAAAGGTTAGAGAAACGATAAGAAATTGCACACTTGACCAATAAAACAACTTACTTGTTCAAAGAACTAGGAACATTAACAAATTTTAGCCCACTAATTTGTCGGAGAAGACTCCTCAATTAATGGAGGGATTTTGTCAATTATGGCACTCTTATTTAGGATTGGAAGGGAAATAATTGTATCCAAAGTTAGCCTTATTCTCCACCATGATAAATAAGGAAGGATTAGGCAAATTCCCCAAATCGTGCTAGTCACGGATCTCAATAAAATTGAGATTGTTAGCCTCCACAGATTCCAAAATGGTGTTCGAGCCGATCTCCTTGTACCTTCGTCGTCGCCCCACTTCTACTCCATCATCCTTGCCTCTGGACCATGGAAGTTCCCCGAACCAGGATGAAACGAAGATGAAAAGTCATCCCAAGAGATCGCAGAGAAGTGCCCTTTCCAATTTTGTGCCTGATAACTCTTCAAAATACCCTGATGACAAAGCCACAAACCATACATAACAATGTTGCCTTTGATTTTATCAGCTGCAACAGCACTATCAGCATCCAACAGGGAGATCCTCGATACCCGACCTCTATCGCTATCACAAAAACCAATGGAAAAGAATGATTCTTCCAGGAAATAGTTTCCACAACATCAAGAGAGATTTCTGTTATATCTCCATTCGTGCTACTTCTTGAAAAAAATCACAGAAGAATTAGAACAAAATAGAGAGGAACACCATCTGAAAAATACTTAGCCGAGGACTGAGAGAAAACACACACCTCTGACTGAGAGAAAACACACACCTTTCATAGAGAGGAGAAGAAGAGGACCCACTTTTTTCTCTAACTCTTTTGAAAAAACTCAGTCTTCACAGAGAAGAGAGAAACTCAGTTGGGAGACCTAAAAGCTCTCTTGAAACAACTAAACGAGCCAAACAAAATATAATATAATACTCTAACAAAAGAGTCAAACTCATGTTCTAATAAGTTTAGAACATATTCTTTCTTCTCCTCTTCATTCATGGTGACAAACACTCTTAGCAAGTCATGTGATCTTGTCAAAATATTAGTGACCTTAAAAAGTAGCAAGTTAGATAGTTTTTCTATATGTTTTAACTCATCAGTTAGTTGATCTTGTATGTTAGACACTTCTCTATCATTTGAAAAGACTTCTATAAGCTCATCAAGCTTTGGTGCTACTTCTGTCACCGAATTTGCTATGTGTTTGATATGATAACTCATTCCATCCTTTTTGAATGTTTTCTTTTTATGACCTTTACTTGAACTTTTATTAATGAAATTAGGTTAAAAGTTGAGGAAATTAGGTTGAAGTGTTCTCATTTTTAAAAATTTTAATTTGTAATTTTTTTCCTCTCTTCTATTCCTCCTTTTTCTTTCTACAAAAATTCAAATTATTTTCTTTTTAAACTACTCTACCATTTCTTTAATTTTTTTTTTTTAATATAAGAGGGATATTATCAATATTTTTCATTTTTTACTAATATTTATTTTAACTATATTAATTATTTTTTTATCCCCTCTTATTCTATTTCTCTTATATAGGTATATTCTTGTCAAAATCATAAAAATTTATTTTAAAATTTTATTATGTATGTTGTTTGACATAAAAATATCATAATATCGATATTTCATATCTATGTAATAAAAATATATTTGATTAGTCAATAATTTTCATTAATTTTTTTTTCTTGTTTCGATATTTCATCGGTGTCGACATTTTCATAAGTAAATTATTTAATTTTTACCTATGATGATTAAAAGTGATCAATTATAGCCTAATTAAGCTACTTTAAAGTTACATTTACTAATTTAAACAATTTCCATCAATTTCATAATTTCCGTGATTTTTCTCGAAATATCCGTCGACATCGACATGTCCATCGTAAAATCGGGAACTCGACATTTCCATCGACATCGACATTTCGAACTTTGTGTCAAACCACTATAAAATTTATTGGTGTCACCTCTTGTCGTTTCTTTTTAATTTCTACATTTAGTTACTTTGAGTTATGTCCGCCCAATTGCATGATGATATTGCTTAATTATTTTGTGCAATAATTCTCCTTATTATTAATTCTATATGTTTTGAGTGCATTTTTAAGTTCAATAAATTTGCTTGTTTTTATTGTCTTACTTTTTTAGGATCGATATGGAAACACGAGAGGTATGTGAATATAGGGTTGCTTACCAACTTATAGATTTAAAAATAAAGTGGAAGAATAATAAAAAAATCAGATGAAATTTAAGTGCAAAAATTAAAAGAGCCGAGAGAAAGAAATGATACCATGAATTTTTATAGTGGTTCGAAAATTCCTACTCCACTCCCCAAAACTCTTTCTTGGGTATTTTACTGCATCGGCTCTCTTACGAATGACAACCTGCGAGCTCAAAAGTAAACCCCCTACCGATTCTTTTGTAGGTTCAGGATCCAACCTACACCAATCTTTTTCACTAGTTTAAGATCGAACCACTCTCACAATCCCAAGGTGCACCCACACCTTAATAAAAGATCTCAAATTATGTAAAAATAAGCAATACAAAAGAAATACCTCACTAAGGTAGATTTATAAATTTCACACTAAAGCAATGACTAAAAAACCACAATCTAATGTATCTCTCACAAAAATGATAAGCAAGTTTAAGTGTACAGGAGAGAATGAAAGTTTTTCACAAGTTGAGAGGAGAATTTGAAGAGAGTAAGATTTTCACTTTGATAATTGGTGAGGAGAATGATGAAGTTGGTGGCTTTAAATAGAGTTTCAAAGATGAAATTTGGTCATTGGATCCAGGACAAAATAGAATGAACGGTGGAGATTAAGAGAAAAGATAAATAAAATAAGTAAAGAAAAATTATAGAGATTTAGAGAAATTGGTAGATATTAAGGAAATTTGTATATTAGATTTGTGGGAATGTAGGGGAATTGAGGAAATGAAGGTAAAATTAAAAAATTACTAATTCTAAATTTATTGGAATGCGCAGCATGTCATCACATGATTCTTCCATGCCAGCATAATTTAACTATTAGATGCCATGTCGACAAAGTGCCACATCATATACCACATGTCAGCTTATAATTGGTTTGACTATCCATACGTCACCTGTCTTATATGTTTTGTCAAACTAAACTTATCTTGACCATAACTTCTTTGTTTGAACTCTAATCCGAATGATTCAAAATGTTTTAGATATACTTTTCTAAGCTATACGCTATAGACACTTTGAAACACTAAAATCATCAATAAATAAAGTTTGATATCATCAAACCATATGGTATGATTAAAGCTGGTAAAGCTTGTAGATACCGTATTTGGTTCAGCCCAATTTTATTTTATTTAATTAAATAAATTGAAAAAATATTTATGTCTTTCATTAAAAATACAAAAAGATAGAAGAAGAAAAGTAAAACATTTTAGAATAATCTTAAATTTCAAATTCAATTTGATTTTCTATTAAAACTATGTGATTTTTAAATTTTGAAATACACTGAAAACAGTTTTAAAAACAGTTTGAAGAATTGATTATGGTTTTTAAAACTTTAACTTAATTTCAAATTGATTCTCTTTTTTAGACTTTCAGTTAAGGTTTGGAGAATTTTAAAATATGATTTCAATTTGATTTTTGATTTAAAACGAGATTTTCAATTAAAGATTACAAAATCTAAAATTTGAATGGATTCTTTTAGGCCCTATATAAAGGAGGGTTCACCCACATGAAAGGGACGGCGGAAAAGAAAAGGTTGAGATTTTGTTTCTAAAATTGCTTTTAGTGAACTACACTCCCTCTTTCCTTTCTTTCACTAGCAAACCATTTTCTCTCCTCTATTCTCCAACTCTTTCTCAACCACACCATCTATCTCCTCTCATATTCCGTCACAATCCGGTGGCGAGCAACTCCGACAGCGACATGGACCCGACGGTGAGGGCCTACAAAGTCCGACCCTCGACGTTCAGATCCTTTGTTCCGATGACCTTTGACAAATCTCCCTCCATTCTATGGATATTCTCTCTATAGGTGGGTAAGGTTGACAAAATATTTGTTTTTTTTTCCGTACATCTTGGTAGAAATTTTAGGTTTTTTGCATGTAGTTTTCGGTGTTAACAATTTTCAGGACTGTTTTGAACTTTTTGGGCTGTTTTCGATGTAAAATTTTACAATTTTTGGGACTGTGTTTTCTGCGTTTTTGGGGCTGAAAATTGAACTTTTTTGGACTGTT